GGCTCCCACCCCTCTCAGGAGGTCGTCCCGCTGCCTTCGCCCGCCCTGAGAGGAAATGCGCAGCCGAGACCTGGCGGCGAGGTCCCGCAGCGCGCCCGGGATGGCGGCGGGAAGGAGAGAGGCGCGACAGGCCGGACGCTGAGGAGACTGAGGTACCTCCCGCTTCCCAGCGTGGACATCGCCCTCCGCGTCGGGCTGCTGGGGAAGGAGAGGCTTTAGGGGGCCAGCGTCCTTTGCAGGCACAAAAACTGTGGGTTCGTGCCAAAGGGACGGTATGGGGACATACACAGAGACAGATCTCTTTAACTCGGGCCCCACTCGGTTCCTGACACCTCCTCTGGTAGCTGGGCACTGCGAGGAAAAATCCCTGCGGCCGGCCCCAGCCGGGGCCCAGTTTGCTGTGCTGACTCGATCAGGTAGTTTCCAATTTTAGTTCTCCGGATTGACTCATAACTGGCATTTTTTGTAGGGGAACAAGCAAACTGCGACTCTCCTTTAGATAGGATGCTTCCCTGGAAAGGGGGCGATGCCTGTCTTCAGTGCTGGTTTTTGACTAACTTTTTCTCTGCAGAACTGCCCCTCTACATGTAGGATCTGGGGTTTCAGCTAAATAGTTGAGTGAAAAAAATAACCAAAATGCATTGGCAAGGCTGGCAGCGATCCCCCAGCTATCATGGGTGAAAAACCACCATGCTGCTGTACTGCCATCGTGTCATGCAGAACCGATACACAGCGTGTCATAGGCCCAGTGTTTAAAACAAGTGGAAAAGATAGACACTTATTTGTCATGGTTTAACCCCAGCTGGCAACTAATCACCACCCAGCCGCTCGCTCACTCCCCCCCAGTGGGATGAGGGAGAGAATCAGAAGGGTAAAAGTGAGAAAACTCATGGGTTGAGATAAAGACAGTTTAACAAGTAAAGCAAAAGCCGTGTGCACAAGCAAAGCAAAACAAGGAATTCATTCACTCCTTCCCATCGGCAGGCAGGTGTTCAGCCATCTCCAGGACAGCAGGGCTCCATCATGCGTAACGGTGACTTGGGAAGACAAACGCCATAGCTCCGAACGTCCCCCCCTTCCTCCTTCTTCCCCTTTTTTATATGCTGGGCATGACGCCATACGGTGTGGGATGTCCCTTGGGTCGGTTGGGGTCAGCTGTCCCGGCTGTGTCCCCTCCCAACTCCTTGTGCCCCCCCAGCCTGCTCGCTGGTGGGGTGGGGTGAGAGGCAGAAAAGGCCTTGACTCTGTGTCAGCACTGCTCAGTAGTAGCGAAAACATCCCTGGGTTATCAACACTGTTTCCAGCACAAATCCAAAACGTAGCCCCATACCAGCTACTGTGAAGAAAATTAACTCTACCCCAGCCAAAACCAGCACATTATTGCTTTCAGGTGGTAAAGACCATCACTTGTAAGATTCCCTCCTCAGCAGTGTTGTGTATTATTATTAGTGCACTGGTATGCTTTTTCAGTCCTGGAGCAATACACAACTTTGAGTCGGAAGGCATCCAGAGGTTATCGTATTCCCACATACAAATTTAGAAATATACTAATAAACATAAATGTTTTCCTTTTATTTAATTAGAACAGTTTTTTCTAGCATAAGCATTTTGTAAATGATCTGCAACTGAATAATTAGTAAAAGGAAATCACCAGAAAATGTAATATTTAAATCTAGCTTAACGGAGTTGAATTAGTAAAGCCTTAAACTTCTATAAAACCTTTGAACATGCTCCGTTGTTAATAAAGCAAGTGCACTAAATTAATATAAACCCTTCTGGAACCTGTTGCTATTTGTAACATGGTCCAGGCTCTGTTTAGTGTTTAAGGAATGATTTTAATTAGACTGTTCATTCAGTGGAAATCCTGGAAAAAGGAAAGTCAAACTAGTAGGTGTGGACTGCATTTCAGAGGAGCAGGGACACTACCATGCCTTCAGCGGACAAAGCCCATCCGAGCAGACAGGGATCAGGGCTGCATTTGGCTCGTTTAGCGGGAGAGGTTTGATGGGAGGTCTTGGTGGGGCGGTGGCTACAGAGGTCGGTTTGCTGCCCTCGGGGTTCACACAGGGGCTTCCCCCTCTTTCCTTCAGGTCTCGTACCCTCCGGGTGAGGCATGGGGAGGGCTGGAGGGGCAGTTTGGGGAGCTGGAGCAGTCGGCCGAGAACCATCCGGCTGAACAAGCCCCCCAGCCTGGAGGGATGGGACTGGTCAGTGGCTGACCCTCCGGGCGCGGGTGATCCCGGAGGCGAGGAGGATGCATGCTCTGGCTTTGCAGCCCTCTGCCTCCCCCCTGGTCAGAGATGTCCCTGGCTACCCAGCATCCCAGCTGGGGCCTCAGCCCATCCCACGGGCATGGTTCAGCTGTCCTCTGCAAATCCTGCGGATGGAGGGGGCCGGTGTGTGGGATCAGCAGTTCCTGCCCACTCGGCAACCTCTGTCCCACGGGAAGACAGGAGCGTCGCAGCTGGGAGCGCGACGTGCCTGCCCAGCCCTTCCAGGATCCCGCAGAGCACGACTCCTCCGGGTGCCGGGGATACTCCCGGGGCCGGGCCAGCCCTCCAGGTGCGGCTCCTGCCTAGGTAGTGTCATCGCCGGGAAGAGGGAGCGTGTGACCGGCCCGGGTGGGCGGGGGCAGGAGGCCGCGGTTTCCGAACCGCGGGTCGGGGCGGTCCCGGGATCGAGCGGTGCGGTCTCTTTCGGGCGCCTCCCGGAGGGGGTGCTGGGGGTTAAGGCGTGCCCTGCCGTTGAACGGGCAGCCCCCGTCCTCCCCTAAACCCGAGGAGAAGGGCAGTGTGCGGCACCGGCTTGTAGACGAGTTACGGCTCCAGAAAAGCCTCTTGGCCTTTTGCCTGGGGGTATTCGAGCGCTTCAAGC